CAACTTGTGTTTGGAAATGTTAAGGGCGCAGCGAGTAAGGCCATCTTCACTTATTTTGTGTTAACTGCTTATGTTCCATATGAAAATTTGATTCAAAATAGATATTAAAGATTTGAAATGCAAAAATAAAAGGCGTAACCTTTGAAGATGATTAAGTGCTCTGATCCAACACTGATTTTGAGTCAATTGGTCACATTACCTGGAAGCTATTGAGCAAATAAGGTAAAATTTCCATATAAATGTCTTATTAAGGTATATTTTTTCTTTTAGGAAAACAGGTTTACATGATATTACATACAGAAAGAAGCAGAGATACAAAATGCAACTGCCAACCGACGTCTTTAATCAAGGGTGTTGTGCCACTTCACCAGAATATTTTGAATATATTAAATAACTAGAACTGGCAGTTAGTTAATTAATAGGTCATTCAAATCATGGGTAAAGCTACTTATTTATTATCGGTTGAATTATTATAACTTTAATTTCCTTGCTGACTTGGGTTTTAGCCCCTTTCCTAAAAGGTCGGACTCCTGAATCTGGCTGTTAAAATCCAGTTATCTTTCACCAAATTAGGTATTTTAGGCTATGGCTCTTAGCAACGTTATTAACCACCAAATAAATGTGTCTGTGTTCATTCGGTTGCTACTGAAAGAAGAGTGAATACAACCCGAGTGATAAATCGTTCACTGTATAAAATGAACACAAAATACCATGGGTAAAAAATACAATGGTGCCTTTATTAGCTACAATCACACAATATTATATCTAATAACTAAGCAAACACTAATCACTACTGAAAATAAGCAAAATTAAAGAAATAAAAGGGGAAGAGGGTTTTAAGAGCCCGTTCAAAGTTGTTCGAAGTTTAAGGCTTAATGCATTTAAAAGTGTCCCTTATAATAGCAGCAGATGAAATGTGAATAAACCCCGACACAGAGATGTTAACTGCAGTCAAAAAAGAAAAATTTAATTCAGTTTATGATGAAAAATGAATAATGATTCAGGAATGCATTAAACTATGATGAGGCTAAAAGACCCATCAGCTTAGCTTGCCCCAGGGGTTCTGGTTCTGGTCGGGTCCAACTGAAACAAAGAGAGGGTTAGCTTGCGATGTAGCAGTTAGCTTCAGCAACATGTGACGCGTTCAGTCTGTAGTGAGCATTAGCATTCAGCAAAACCTTTAAAAACATCAGCAGTTGAATCAGAAAGCTTATTCCAAATAAAAACTCCAACATGACTATTCTACCTACCTGTAGTTCACCCAAGCAGAGCATTTATTAAGCATCACATGGAAAGGAGGGGACGGATGCAGTTACTGTTTTGGTTCGGTGGAATGAAGCCCTTCAGCTCGGTCTGGTTTTCTGCAGACCCGTCTTCAGTCCAGTCCATTAATCCAGCAGCAACTCAAAGAGAAGAGGGCATTAGTCTGTACATAATCCTTCACCAGTTTCTCTTTTATTTCTACACAGCATTTAGCTCCTCCTGTTTTATTCTCTTTGGAGAGAGACTTTATTACAAAACTAAACAAAGGCTTTTTCATAAAGAACAGAGATTTCAATAGAAAAGTTTAACATCATTAAAATATAAGTAGGGAACTACTGTCTAACGTTTGTGTTTGTGTATTTTCCTTGGTAAAACTTTAAGGCTGCAGAAGTTTCATCTTCCTAAATTAAATGACTTAGATGGCTTCCAACAGCAGACCTAGAGAGGATATTAATAATTTCAGTAATTACTTAAAAAATACTTAGCTACACCTTTTTGGTGTGGGTGGTACGACAAGTGTGATGCAAAATAACTATGTGTTTTTAATAAAAGAACAACAACAATAAAAGCATTTTCTATATGTATATATTGTATTTCTACTCCTTATTTAAATTGGTTTACCCTTTTTTATTTGCAATATTTTCAGATGCAAACCTCAAGGAATAGCTTGAAGTTGATACAAACACATCTACTCTGGTCTAGTGTCTTGATCTTTTTGTAGTTTTTTTTTTCATCCATACACTGAGAGTAGCTGTTTATTTTCTGCTTTGTGGTTTAACATNTTCAGTCCAGTCCATTAATCCAGCAGCAACTCAAAGAGAAGAGGGCATTAGTCTGTACATAATCCTTCAACAGTTTCTCTTTTATTTCTACACAGCATTTAGCTCCTCCTGTTTTATTCTCTTTGGAGAGAGACTTTATTACAAAACTAAACAAAGGCTTTTTCATAAAGAACAGAGATTTCAATAGAAAAGTTTAACATCATTAAAATATAAGTAGGGAACTACTGTCTAACGTTTGTGTTTGTGTATTTTCCTTGGTAAAACTTTAAGGCTGCAGAAGTTTCATCTTCCTAAATTAAATGACTTAGATGGCTTCCAACAGCAGACCTAGAGAGGATATTAATAATTTCAGTAATTACTTAAAAAATACTTAGCTACACCTTTTTGGTGTGGGTGGTACGACAAGTGTGATGCAAAATAACTATGTGTTTTTAATAAAAGAACAACAACAATAAAAGCATTTTCTATATGTATATATTGTATTTCTACTCCTTATTTAAATTGGTTTACCCTTTTTTATTTGCAATATTTTCAGATGCAAACCTCAAGGAATAGCTTGAA